GCGGGGGGTGCGTGCAGGTGTGGGGAGGGGGGTGGTAGAGGGTCCTGTTCCCGTGGGGGGTCCGTGCTTTCCTTTGGAAACGGAACCAAGGCCGGGTGTCGCAGCGGGAAGGGTGGGGGGTACGGGCCGGGCGGGGGCTGCTCGGCCCGCAGAGGCTGCTCCCAGGTTGAGCTTGGTCTGTGCGAGAGAAGGTCTTTTGCGGAGGGGCAGAGGTGTGCTGGCATCGTGCCTTGCGCTCTACTGGGTGTGTGGGTTTCATTGCTGCCGTTAAAACCACCTGGCGTGGAATTTAATAACGTGATGAAAAGTGCGATTAAGGCTGAAAATGCATTACTCATTGAAGACAGGATGAGTTAATTGTACTATTTTGTACAGAACACTTGCTATGAGCTGCATAGGGATTTATTTTCCCCCTTCCTTCTTCTAGTTTATTGACAGTACATTTAAAGATTGGAACATTGGTGGTTTGCCTAACACGAAAATATATATCCTAAATTTGGAGAGAGGGAAGGAGGAAACAGTGTTCCTGCTTTTTCTATGGAGTAAACAAAATGTACTGCTGGTACAGTGGTAGTTTAAAATTATTAAAATAGCATTCCTTTCTTCTAGGTCATGCTGTTACTTTTCAAATTATATTTATTGTTCCTGTTCTGTGACTGCTGTCAGCTTTCCACGAGTGGTGCAGGCTAGATGTTTTCTAAATAGCACATATTAAATTCAGATTTAAAAAAAATTCAAATACTTTAGATGTAGTTGAGTGTCTATAACATCCTAAGTCTACTTTTAGACGTGGCTGCAGTGTAAGTAGTAAACACTGATCACTGGACACTTAAATGCACAACATGAACATCACAGTCATTTTCATAAGGATAGTGTGCAACTGGAATGTCTTGCAAGTAATATAAATATTTTTTCCTCTGGTTTTCAGATAGTATTTGACCTGTCTCAACATTAATTCAGTCCCTTGATGGTTTATATTCTTCTGCCTGGTCTTGGCCCTGATCCTACGAAGCACTAAAAATGGACTTAATTTGAAATGCAGAGAGGCCTAGTGGATATACAGATTTAAATACATGCATTCTTCATGAAATTGTGACCTTTGTTTATATCTGCAAATGCTTTGCTTCTGATCTGTACTTTGGTTAAGCAAGGAAAAGAAGAATTTAATTAGAAAAGCTTTTCAGCGTGTCATTCACACACTGCTTCTCACTCAAAACAAATTATTTTTCTCCAAATTTTGCCACTGTCACTGGGCGTAAAAGTTAAGATTGTTTTTAGTCTTGTGAGTTACAAACCAGAACTTTCTTGTATTTGGAAGCCTGCAGAGGAGAGGGATTTAATATTTAGAAGGTTGAACTGAATTGAAATGTCAGTTACCTCTGTTATGAAACAGAGTGCTCACTGCAGTTTGCCATTGTTTCCAGTATAGGGATGAAACGTTTACTTCTTTCTAGTGCAGGAATAACAAGCTCAAGACTGTGGCTGATACCTCACCTGATGACAATGTGAACATTTAATTCAAATCTGCAACTTCAGAACAAAGCTGGATACCTAGCCTTATTCTTCCTGTCACCCCTGTGCTACTGAGGCCAACGTGGGCTTGTCCTTGCTTCTGGCTGCCTTGCCTGGTGAGTGTGAAACCTGATGGTTTTACTGATCTGGGTCACAGTTGCACTTCATTAGGGTTTCTGTAGCCAAAATTTTGTCAGACTCTTAACTGTTTTTTTTATATCGCTTCTGAAATACACGATATCACTAGAAAACTAAGTGTCTATCCAGCATTTTTTATTTTTGAAACTTTTTGAAAAGTAGTATAATTTCCTACAGGAATAAAGAATTTTAAACAATCCCTGTGTTTCATTTGGAGATTAGGTATCTTTAGACCTTGTTTAGATTCAGTTATTTTTGTGATTGTCTGTGCTAGCATGTGATGAAAGAAATATTGCAGGATTTTCATATTCTGTAGGGTGTATTAATACTATAGAGACAGGCAGTCAGTTTTTATCAGTGTGCAAAAAGACTCGACCTTAACAGCTGGGAATGCGTTCTTGTACCTCTTAAGGGGATTTACTGTTTCTCCAAAAGGAACCAGTCATGGCTGACGACTCTCAGAGAAACTTCCGCTCAGTGTATTATGAAAAAGTGGGGTTTCGTGGAGTTGAAGAAAAGAAGTCACTGGAAATTCTGTTAAAAGATGACCGGCTGGGCAAGTTGATTTCACTGTTTCCTCTATTTGGTGATTTGTGGCTGGGGAGGGAATAATAGAAAATGTTTAGCTGCTATGCTTAGTACTCATTTAAGTTTTGCGTCTTTTACCACTAATCTCTCACTTGTTACTAACAGTCCTTTGAGCTTCAGAGATCTGAAAATCTGATTTTTAAAACTATTAAAATTTGTCTGCTTGCTTGTTTCTTTTTTTTTCTTCTTTAATTTTCTGTGTCAAAGAAACTAGAAGTTTTTGAAAACAATTTTGATCTGAAAATATACCGCCTCATGCTGTTACTTCCATCTAACCTCGAAAAAATGAAGATTTTATTATTGCTGTTGGTCCCTGAGGAGTTCTCTTACAGAACAGAAAGATAAATGTTGTCCTTTAACGAAGTCCTTAATTGTTTTGAAATAGCAACATGATTTACAAAATGACTATGAAAATGGTACAGTTTCTTCCTGGTGAAACCTAGGATAGTTTTATTGGAAATCAAGCCAGCGTATATATTTTTCAAAATTGTTGCAGTTTATAGGCCGCATTCTGTTCTCAATTGAAGTGGTGAAAGTGTTTGTTGACAATATATGATGAAAGTGAGTTTTTTAATCTGCAGCCAAGGATTTGTCATACTTCGGTAGATCAGACACTCAAATCTATTTATAATTATATTTAAATTTACCTTAATTTTTTTTCTCTTTATTTCTCTACAGATATTGAGAAGCTTTGCACATTTAGTCAAAGGTTTCCTCTCCCATCCATGTATCGTATACTGGTGTGGAAGGTGCTTTTAGGTATGAAATATAACGTCCGTGATCGTCTGTAGAAATTAGTATGTAGGAAGGTATATGGTTGGTTTTTTTCTTTCTTTAGAGAGTTAATGACACTGAGTATTCTGTACTGCCTGGCCTACTGATACATATTTAGTCTGTTTTTGTATCTAGCTAGGTTGTACAGTGGCAATTATAAAACAATATTCCATGCATGGTTTTCGAGAGCTTTTGCTGAAGTGTACCTAGAAGAGTGTATTTCTATATTTAACTTTGTGATGCTATCCAAGTCAATTTATAAAACAGGTTTGAAGGGTGGATTATAACGTCACTGATACCTGATAAGGTATTCAGTTCTGTTCCTAAAATAACAGACAATTAAGTTGAAGTAAAGCTGTGATTAAACTTAAAAAACTGGTCAAGGTGTGAAGTGGGTGTTTTGTTCTAAAAAGAAGCTTTGTGTTCTGTAAAATCTGGTTTCTTCTGGTTTTGCATCTGGCTTTAAATTGTATTTGCCATTGAAGAAGTTTTGAGGCCAGAGACAAATTGTGATATTCCCAGAAACCATAAAAAAACCCCATAAATAGATTCTGTTCAGATTCTATGCTTTGCAGTAACTGGTTAAGTGTGTTTGGTTTCCTAGATGCGAGGTCATGTCACTTGGAGACAGGAGGGGTCATGGGAGGTCCAGGAGTTCTGACCCTTACCAGGGTATCCGGAGGGTTTCCCTTTGAGTTGCTGTGTGTAGAGAAACGCTGCCAGATTGAGCGTGAAGGTACATCATCTGAATCACTGGAAGAGAAATATGATTTACCGTACTGTTGGCGGTGGAGCGTTGTGCTTGAGCGTGGTTCCCTTGCTCAGTCTTGTATTACTAGGGCTGTGCTGGCAGGAAGGGTGCTGGTACCCGAAATGTTATTTCATCAGGGAGAGACCAGCAGCATCAGTCTGCAGATTGGCTTGGAAGCTGCTGTCTTTTACTGTCTGTGAACTTTACGACTACTTCTTTGTCCTTTGGTTCTCCAGGATATGTGATACAGATCCTCTATGTGTTTCTTACATGAGGATTTTGGCATGTCGTTCAGAGTTGGGAAGATTGGTGACTCCTACCTCAGAATGACTATTTTACAAAGCCATTTTTTTATCTGTGTTAGGGTGTGTGTTTATCTTAGGCTGTGCCATGATCTTGAACAATGTTAAGTAAATATCTTCTGTTTCCCCTCTTGGCCTCCTTGTTCCACTTCAGTGTCTGGAGTTTGAAGTAATGTATTAGAAAGTTTTAGCTGAGCTTTAAACAATCTTTTAATTTTTTTTCTTCTTTTTTTTCCTTTCCAATTTTCTGCAATTTAGCAATTGGGCTTTGTATTCCTGATAATTTGGGAGAGGTAGTAACTGAACAGTATGCTGAAGGTGCAAGATCTAATTATAAAACTTGAAGTTCTTGGCACTGGTCATTGAGCTAAGAGTTAAAAGAGATTGTTGAGCTACTTGATAAAAGCCTCTGCTGTTAGAGTACTAATTTTAGGATGAAAAAGATTCTTGTACCCTGGGCCCTAGTCAAGTAGTCAGCATCCTTTAAAACATTACTAGTAGGAAATACAGTGTAGGAGGTTTGGACAAGTGATTCAGTGCAAGATCCTTCAGCCCAAATTTATACATGAGAATACAGTCTCTTGGCAAACTTGTAGCTCACTGCAGAGCCAGTGGTCTGTCTTTGACCGTTTTAGGTAGGATGATTTGTGAATCGTGTGGTAACGCAAAACACCTTCTGAGTTAGCTGTGTGGAAAATTGTATTGATTTTTTTAAAGGATTTTGCATTTTAAATCAGAGTGATTTATTTCAAGTATGCATCCTGTCATTCTGTATACTCCTTGGGTGAACAGAAATACGAGGACATTTCTTATGCTGCATCTCAGTGTTAACACTCATTAGAAAAGCTGGTATTCAGAAGGGCAGTACAAAATGTCTCCGTAAATGACTGGAACAACATTCCAGTCTGTTTCCGGTGAGAGGTGTTACATCTCCTCTAAATAATGTTAATAATTTAACAAAAGGGATTCTATCCTATCAGCAAAATTTTCTCAGACACATACAAAAGCTCAATGCTATCCCAGGTTATATGGTATGTCAGTGATGTCTCTGTTAACTTCTGTTCAAGTATGACTCGTGATGATTGCTAGACATCCCTGTGTTGTTTAAGCTTCTCTTCTGTCTGCCTAGGGTAGCCTTCTCTATTTGAGGAAAGCAGTTGGCAGCATGCACGTACAGAGTTGTGGTATGGACTCTGTTTTTGCATAATGTGAAAAATGTTTTACTCTATCCCAGCTTTTGAAATGCAGACAGGTTTGCAGTTGGAAAGTGAGAGATATTTTTCTGTCTGATGTGCTTCTTATCAAAACTCAACCATTTTGTGGTTGTAACACTTGGCAGGAATATTTTTTTTCTTTGAATGAGAGATAAAAGGAGCAGGTAGCCTGTTTCAGAACTGATTTTTGAAGAATACTTTGTTCTCATGTGTTTCTACAACAGGAAAAATTCTGTTCTGCTAGTGATATGAAAGTGGCATTATTTTTGCTTTGGATCTTATTTCCGTTGAAGCCTGTGGCAGTATTGTCGTGAACATTGGTGCATGGCAAGATTGAGTCTTGAGTGAGGGGAAGGATCGAGTGAAATGTTGAGCATCTCTTCTGGAGATGCTTCTCTACTTAGATACTTTTTTTCTTTTTTTATTTTTCCTCCTAGGAAACTAGGAAAAAAAAAAATCTTTGTGCTAAGGAAATAAAAAAAGTTACCTTGCAAAGTGCTTGGTTGGTATTCTTAAGTTTTAACCTGTAACTGATTCAGCCTATGTGATTGATTTTGCTTCTGATTGTTGTTTTAGAGAGGATTAATCTGTGATACAGTGAGTAAAGAATTTTCTGGAAGAGATCTAACAGTAAATTAAATAATACTGGAATGTCCAGTATCTTTGCATTGGTTAATTGTATGTATATATTCTGTGGTCATCTCAGAGAAAGTGTAGAATTTGAGAACATGAACAGCTAATGTATATAAAAATCATTCTGCATCCGCTTTGTTTTCAAAATAAATGGAAGCTGGGCACAAATACGCAACTAGTGCTGTGTTACAAACTGCAGGGAGGCATAAACAAGTAACAAGTAAGATTCACAATTTAAAAATAAAGAAAGGTTATTGGAGAGGGAGAATAAACCAATTCAATTATTTTTCATCTATCCCAACAATGACATTTCTCATCAGCACACTGTGGTATACAAGAGAGTTAGTGTTCATTTGCTGAGAACCTTGTAGAAGAGTTCAAGAAACAATAGTCTAAGGGTAGATTTGGCTATGCTCAGTTAACGTATGGTATTTGTTCTTATAAATATAATGCTAAAATGCTTTGTTGGTCCATTGACTTCCAATTTTGTAGAATTTTCTCCCTGTATTCTTTGACCAAGTTTATAAATGAACTGCAGTGCCAGGTCCTGTATTTCTGTAGGCTGGAGTTGTAGTGGAAATTGAATTTAGGCAGATCTCTTGGAAAGGGAGTTTGAGTGCTTTGATTTTTCTCTTTACAGTTGCTTATCTCTTTTTGTTGTTGTTGTTTTTTCCCTTATCTTTTTATTTTTGTTTAAATTTTTTTTAGGAATTATTCCTCCTCACCATGAATCTCATGCTTTGGTGATGAAGTACCGGAAGGAGCAGTACTGGGATATACACCATGCTCTTCGTGTAATTCGTTTTATTAATGATTCTACCCCACAGGTAGATGTTTTCCTCCGCATACATCAACTGGAATCAGGAAAATTGCCTCGAAACATGGCTTTTCCATTGGTCAGTTGTCATTTTAACAATCTTTTAAATACAGTGTTTTATTTAACTTCAAACTATAAACTGGTGAGAAACTGAACTGCAGTAGCCCCACAAATGCACGTAGGTGGACAAAGTAACGTGAATGGGAAACAGAGAAGTACTAGTATAAAATAATGGATTTTAGTCAAAGTACTCTTTTTTTCTTTCTCTAAGTACTTATGTGTGATTTCATGCCTTAAAATCTCTTTTGTGTATTTTTCCCTGCTAGGCTTCAAGCCTTTTGTACTCTAGTACATGTCAGTTTCTTTATAGTGCTGAAATGAAGATGACATAATCTTATCGGAGCTCATAGATTCCTAAATGTCCTGGAACAAGGATAATTCAGAGTCAGTGCAAGCAGTGATTTAATGCAAATTTCATCATTTATTTAGATTATTTGTTTTTAAATCTAGACTTTAAAGTACTGACCTCCTTTTTCTGTTAGACTGAACTGGGCCCAGCCTTCTGTCAGGTAGTATGTGTCCTCTGTAGTTTACAATGTACAATGTGGGTAAACACGTGTATGTTTTGATAGTAAGTCTATAGTCTGATGATAAAAACAATCTGTGGATCTTGGATATAAGCCTGTATGAAAGAGGAGGTGATGAAAGGAGCCATGGGACTTTCTGAAGTGTTTTTTATCCTGTATTTAATACTAATTTATCCATGTTCATTCTAGCCCAGCTTACTTTGTTGTTTTTTGTCTGTAATAACAAAATTTGATATAAGAACTTAAAAAAAGTTAAAAAAACCAAGGGCAAACAAAGTTAACATAGAAAAGTCAGTAATATTTTGGACTGGAGGATTATATACAGCAGTCTCTTGTTGGAAGCTACCTTGTTAGGATGTAATATTATCTTATTTGGGAACATTTGAGAACTTTGAATCAGAGTTGTTCCAAACTTCTGTTGTATGTTTTGGTTTTAAATGCAAGACAAGTCGTATTTGTTCTGCTTTAATAGGTGTCTGTCACTTAGTGCCTGGTGCTAGATTTATGAATGTCAGAACAGCTCTTTGTGTACATTGGTTCCAGTTTTGTTTTCCCAAGTAGCAGGGAGAAGAAATATAAGAATCATTTAGATCAGGTAGTTGAATAGTTCGGTGTATTTCACTTTTTTGGCTTTATTTTCCAGGAACCTGAAGATGACGTGTTTCTTGCTATTGCTAGAGCAATGGAGGAAATGGTGGAGGATCCTATAGAATGCTATTGGCTCGTCAGTTGCTTTGTGAATCAGCTGAACAGCAAGCACAAAGATTCATTACAACAACTGGTAAGGAAGAAAAACTTTTTTTTTTTTGGTGTGAGGAGAGCCAGTCATGGAAAACTTTAATGTATGGAGACAACTGGAGTGTCAGAGGTGACACACTTGGATTCTGTTCTACCAGCTGTTTTGAGAAAACAGGAGTGCTTTTTGCGTTGTGATTGTGCTGTCCTCTGGGACACTTTGTCTAACGTAACATTAGAAGTTGTTTTTCTTTGCTACACGGCAGTTTTCAGTTACATCTTCGTTTTTAGATTAGCTAAAGCTTAACATATCTAGTTGAATTATAGTTTTCACAAATTGGTCACTTAAGAATTTTTCTTTATTTTAAACAATTAAAAATGTCCCAAAGTTAAGAATATCTTGATGTATGTCTGCTGCTTTTTAGGCTGCATCTCTGGCATCCATGTGCTGCTCATTGGATGATAGACAAAGCACAATTGTTTTGCTTTATAAATGCAGCAGGGTACTACGTCTTCAGAAAAACAGTATGTTGCAAATTAAGTTATAGTAAAAAGTGGAATAGAGTTCTTTTGGCACTGAACATTTAAATGCTCTCATAGAATATTAATTTTCAATTTCTATCTTACTGGTTTATAAAATTAAAATTTGATTGTAAAGAAAATGCATACTTATCAAAACTACAAAGGCTTTTGTAATTCTTTGATTAGTCTTAACAGATAACAAACTTTTAGTTAATATCCACTGAGGTAAAAGTATCAGAGTACCTGTGCATTAGCAATCACTAAATGAAAATTCATTGCAGAAAATTGTGCATGTCCTTTGTTTGTTACTCTTGGAACTAAGAAATAATTTCTAAACCTACCTTCTGTTGCTGGAGGTGACGCATTCAACTATAGCAATTTCTGTAATTCCTTTCAAAGGAGAGAGGAGTGTTTTTAAAGAAAGTGTGGGCTGTCACTACAGTGACACTACAGAGAGTGCAGAGTGTCTCCCTCCCTAAGTTTTTGCTTTAGTACGAACATTGTACCAAGACTCTAGATGTTAGAATATGGACAAAGAAAGCTTTTTCTCCCTTTAACAGCTGAAGCCATTAGCTATTTACCTAATTATGACAAAAAGCATAAAGCTGCACCTGCATTTATGAAAGTGTATTGTGTTACATTAGAATTTAAACAAAATGAATTATCCTATTTTTTATGTCGATAATTATCCACATGTTTATGCTCCTAAATACTTTGGAATTTTAACCAAGAAATCAATGTCCAGCCTTTAATATGTTGCACAGGGATTTACTCTCAGAATTGATTGTCTGGGTTTTGCTACATTGTGTGTAGATTTTGGGTTTTTGACGTGTGCTAAAACAATTAGGTTTGAGGTGAATGAACCTCAATTTTACTTGTGAAGGTAGCAGTAATTAGCACATTTAATTTCTGTATTGCCTTAAGCTCTCAAACACCTTGTTGGCTTAGGGAATGCTGCATATTTTGGAAGTTCTGCTGGTGGTCAGCAATTTAAGGAACCTAAGGTTGTTCGATTAGTTAAGTACTTAATTATCTAATTGCAAAAATCAGCAACACTTGTATTCTGGACATGATGAACAATGCAAGTTCATTATTTTAACATGTTATTTTTTGCTGATTGAATTTTTAAGACATTTCTTGTCTTACAGTGTGCATTAACTATGGAGGGTACTCTGCTGTGAATTACATAAACTTTTCCAATTCCTTTCTCAGCCAAAAGTTCTGGAGCAGTATTTGAACATTGAAGATAACAGGCTCCTGATGCATCTGAAAGCATGTGCTGCAATGAGCAAACTCCCTTATGATCTTTGGTTTAAAAAGTGTTTTGCAGGCTGTTTACCTGAGTCCAGTTTACAGAGGCAAGTTCTCTTTTTTTTTTTCTTTCTGTTTTGTAATTACGTAGTAATTTTAGCTTTTCGTCATCACTAGCAGGCAAAGAGCTTTCTCTACCTGACGTGTAAGATTATGGAGTTAACTTTATTGTTGACTTGGAAATGATAAAGTTGTATTTGATTCCACTAGTTAGTGACACAAGATAAATCTCTGTGTCGTCATTTCTTGCATTGAAATTAAAAAAGAATGGAGATAAATGTAGCGCTGATTCTGTTAGATGCTTAATGCCTCCTAGGGTTTAAAACTTCAAATCCTGTCTTGGTGATGGTAGTCAATTTTCAGACTTTTTAACCAAAATCTTTGCTTAGGGAGTGATTATAATCCTGTATTATCGTTAGATGAAAAGGATTTTGGGAATGTGTACTTGTTTTGGCTGGGACAGTTAATTTTCTTCATAGTAGCTGGTGTGGGCTGCATTTTGGATTTGTGCTGAAAACAGTGCGAAGACATAACCAGGTGGATAGATGATGGTAGTGCAATGGATGTGGTTTATCTGGATTTCAGTAAAGCATTTGACACAGTCTGTGATAGCATCCTCACAGCTAAACTGAGGAAGTG